AAAGACAACAGCAGCGTGGGGGGGGGGATGCTGGAGAAAACGAGAGAGGGATGGAGAGAGAGAATAATGCGGGTGGGGAGTGGGGGTTGTGGGGCAAAATGAAGAAAAAAATATCAGGGAGGAGAATCAAAAAAGCTAAAGAAAGACTTACAGCATTAAAAATCACGTCTATTTCGAGAAAGATGACCCCTTTTGTTGGCCCTGTCAGCTCCTTGCTTTTCAAGGCGTAGGCTTTGCGTTCTCCATTTTGGATCTGTGGGAGAGGGACATGACAGGCGTCTGTCTGGCAATACCCGGCTGAATCGGCTCCCCGGGCCACCTTTGAACCCCAGCTGCTGGCGCTGACAGGGAACCCAAAACAACTGTGGCAACTCTGACAAGTACCTGTTCATTACCCACTGCAGCTCGGCTCTGTCAAACAGAAATTAACTATCCTGGGGAATCATACCGTACAGCGGAGCATGGATATATTAGACACACAGTGCTTTCACAGGCTATCTATATTTTTTTTCAAATATAAGACACTCCGTCCTTTTTTTTTTCTTCTTCTATAAATCGCATCGTCTCTCGATCAATGTCATTTTCATATAATCTCTCATCCCGTCACTCTCTTTCTTCTCAACCTATCAATCTGTTCTTTTTTTCTCAGCCTCTCTTCCATTTTTTCTCCTTCCCGTCATCTCTTTCTCTTTGTGAAATAACAGTCTCATCTGTGGAGTTGCAAAAATAACCTCTGCTTTTTATATCTTCCACTGTGTGTTTTCATTCTTCCGTTCCTCTATGTTATCTGCATTATCCCCAAAGGAAAAGAAAAAGAAACGCACAGAAAAGAAAATCTGCCTTTGACTCACATTTAGTAAAGGAATAGCCACTTTCCCCAGGAAGTCTGCACTTCTGTCTCGGTCCTCATCGTAAACAGTGACCTCAAGTACTGAGTGGATGTCCTTCACGTTACTGGACCACACACACAAAGACAACACCGATGACATACATACTGAAATATAGGTTATAGACTGAAACAGTGAAAGCTTCTCTAAATGCTTCAGACTCACAGAAAACTATAATCTGAAACTATAGGTGGCATAGCAAATTCCTTATATTTGAATACCATCTATTACATTTACATAAATGTTTAAAAATCACCATTAGCATGCTCGATGTGATATTGCACTACATTACTGCCTGAGCTAAGCAAAAGTTAAGTGTGAAGCTCAGACGTGTCATCTTTTAAAAACTAGGCTAGGAAGAGAGCTGACGTTATGTTTAGAAAGGAGGCTATGAGAAACATGTGCACTTAAAGAATTATGAAATGAAACTGTCCCATCACTGGGAATTACAAGTTTGTACTCGGGATATTTAAGAAATGATACAGAGTTAGATCTACATTTACCTAAAGCCTTAGTGTAACTATATATTTGAACAATATTCTTTTTTGTATGAGGAAAAATATGATAGGCCTTCGTTATCTCTCATGTCAATGTTATCCTGGATTTACTGTAGGCATACAATGCATTTTAAAACACTTGTTAATAAGCAGTTGTATTAACAATGATTGCGAATATTTTTTTAAGTTAAAAGTTCATTAACGAAGAAGGCTTTCAGCACTATAAAGTGTGATCAATACATTTCTTTTAAATGATCAGATCGGACCAGAATTGACAAAAAAAATATGAAAGAAACAGACACACTGAAGAACTGTTGAATGCTGTGAATTTAAAAATGTCACAAATGATACTTTTGCCCTGACTTTATTAGTCTTGAATTGAAAAGGTACAATTTTTTTTATTTCCATTACTGCAGTGAGTACTAACTGTGTGTGACAATGGTGTTGTGAAAGCCACTTACAAAGTGAAGACCTTGTTCCATTCTGGGTTGAGGTTTTTGTAGACGGTGTGCGTCTGCAGCCGATCGTTACTCAGCTCCACCACACAGAATGGGTCACTCTTACCTACGGAGCAAAGAAAAAAAAAAGAAACAAGCATACAAGAATGACCTTCTCACTTAAAGGACAGACATAAATACTGTAGACACTAAACTTTTGATGGCTTGAGGTTTCAAGGAAATCGAGAATCTGAAGTAATTCCAACAGCTTTCAAATCCCTCATACTATTAAGACAGATAGTATATAGCATCCTCCCTTTACATCACCTTACAGCTCCAATACCTTGGACTTATCAGAACGGTACCTATGCCATATATATTATAAAACAGTATATCAGTGGAACAGCTGCGAGCTGTTTCTATCAACACCCTGGGAACATGCACAACTAGAAGATAAGCTCCAGGACAACTATGCCCTGGGCGGTCACAAGGAGGGGGTGGGAGAGTGAAAAGGGAGAGAGGACTTTGAGAATAGATGGTGTGGAGAGCACAGACGGCGATGTGGCTCTGAAGGCCAGAGAAGTTCAAAGCAGAAGATAAAGACAGCCGAGCAGGGGTGTGGGAAGCATCGCTGGTCCGTGATTGGCGATTCCAAGCGAGCGATGAGATGGTAGCAGCAACGATGTGGCACAAAAAAAATGAGTAAAAGCAACACAGGAATAAAATTCATACTGACAGCAATTTAAATGAATAAAAACATTGAAAATAATTTGTGATACTAAAATTGAAATTTTACTTGTTTATTACTGCTGCAAAGATTTTTAGACACTGGTAGCAATACAACACCAAGTGACATTTCACAGTGATTATAGTAGAAACAAAGCAACACACATCCAAATGTAGATTTATCCTCCAGAACAAATATTTCACAAACTCACATATGAAATCATTTTAGTGGCCTGTCCCTCCCAAAAGATACAACTTTAATACTTGAAAGACCCTCAGATGTAAAAAAAAAAAAAAATCACCGATATGATATATGGTTCAATATAAATCATATTCATTCATGCTAATTTATTCCAACAAACCTTTCAATTCAGAATTTACTACAGTTATGTAACTGTGTAGAGAGAGAGTGAGGGAGACCGAGAGGAAAAATAAAGATAATCACAGAGTTATGTCCTCCTGAGAATAGCGTACTGTACTATAATAATCAAAACCAGTAATGTCCTATATATTCTCTATTTGTTTACTAATGTCTCATATTTCAATTTCTTTGTACACAGAAAGGAGTGAGACCAGCTCCCCATGCCTGCCAGCCCACCTCCCTTCGATTGCCTCAAAATGAACTAAAAACAACAAAACTCTTAATTCTGGCTTTGATCATTATTTTCTATTAAAACTGTCGGGAGCCGTTGCGCTGTTTGTTCGAGCTTGTAATTTGAAAAGACTGGGTCAGGATTTAAAAAAAAAAAAAAAAATATGTCCCACACGCATTCCCATTGAAAATAGTGAGAATATTGAAATATTAGTAAAGCAGCAATATTGCATAACAAAACTCAATAAAGTTGGGATTGAGTTCAAAGCCCCTCCGCCACATTTCTCTATGTGCCTGTATGTGTGTCTGTAACTGTCATTGATTGGTGTGATTTTCTTCAAATGGTGTGACAAGGGCAGGACATTTAGTGGGTGTGCAAAGTAAATGTCACCGTGATCAATGCTGAGCCGTAGGTGTTGCCTTTCATATCGGTTTGTGGGGCTCTGTTGATGTAGAGTGTTTGAAGTGAATATTGACAGCTATGACTCCTGTGATAGAAAACAAGATACATTAAAAGACAATGGACTCAAGAGTCTGTGTGCATATTTTCTTAGCCATATACATTTCTGTATTGTATTAAAATTCAAATACTTCCGTAGACCAATAATAAATACACGACAAAATGTATCTAAAAATTGTAAACAAATAAAAATGATATATTTTGTCAGTACTTTTTACAGTTGAAAATCCTTAATCATCCCAGAGCTTCCATAGCATGAACGGTTATAGTGTTGTCCCCACAAATCATGTCTGATTAAATTTAAATGCAATCATCCAAATTAAGAGCTGTAAATTATTTCTGCGGAACCCTGACCCCTCCCCCATTTTCTCTCTAATATTCTGTTTTTAATGACATGGCAGGCTGTGTTGCCGCAGAGAGCCAGTTGTCATTGGTGATGAACTCTCACCTTATTGGCCGCCAGCACCAGAGGCGGCTGTCTTAACCAATTACACGCTCAGGTTTGAGCGCCACTCAGAGATCATCCAGGTAATGTCCAAGTAAAAGCCCCTCCCCCCTCTGGGTTCCCGTCTCTGTGGCGCTGGCAGCTCAAACTAATTTCAGTGTGCCCCAAGATAAGTGTGGAGGATGAATACCGTACGGAGATGAGGGAGCGCGCTGTAATTGCCTCGCAGGAAGCTTAGAGTTAGTGAGGAGTTTGAGGTTGGAGAGGGAGCGCACGCTCTCATGTTCCTGTATAATCACAATTAATTAGGATTCAGACTAATTAATGTAAATCAATCGCATTTTTGTTGATTTTTTCCCCCCCCCCATCACACGTAATAGGTTAAAATAGAATACCTACAGTATTCCTTCATGTGTCAAATGATGCAGTACAAAATCTACTCTTGTATGATATTGAGTGAACAAAAATAATGTCCAAGAAGTCTACACGTGCTTAGGTGTTGCTGCTGGAAGTGCATGTGTCCATGTGTTTGTTGCTATTGAAATGTTCTAACGGTGTAGCATCCACTCAGAGGGACAAGAGCTGGCAGACAAAAGGGATTGTTGGTTTTAGAGACTATTTTCAGTTATCCTACTCGGCCTGGAGAGGAGCTACTCCACAAAAACACTTCAATTAGAGAGCGAGATGGCCAGAGAGGAGAGACAGAGAGGAGGAGGAGGAGGGAAAAAGACAAGAGGGGAGACAGGCAGCGTGAATGGGAGAGAGATGGTGAACTATTTCTCTTTCACTGACCTCCTCTCTAACTGTCTGTATGTTTGTCTGTCCGTCCGTCCCTCTCTCACCTTGCTCCTGACCCTCTCTTGGTTTGGGTTGTTAAAATAGGGTGTTCATGTGGTGAGGGCTCTTATGTGGCTCTTACAGAGCTATTGTTTCTGCCAGTGACACACACACACACACACACACACACACACACACACACACACACACA